TAAACTAAAAACTAAAACTAAACTAATTAATTAATAGTTAGGTAGGTAGACACTGTATATTAATTAACTAAATAAACTATACACACACACTACTATATGTGTGTGTGTGTGTGTGTGTATATATATATACTACCCCCCCCCACCCCCCACCACACACACACACAAACACATACTGACACTGGATATATTCTGTTCCTGTCTTATTTACCAAACAACTCATCGACTTATGAAATACATTAATTTTAGTTAAAGTATCATACTGTTAAGTCTAAAGTTTTAGAAGCAAAGGTGATACTGTTTGATTAATATTTAATTCAGGACGCATCTTGTATATTCATAAACTTTCTTTAGTGTATAGCATTTCTTTATCATTCACACTTCCCAAGATGTTAAAGTGTTTTGATGTGACATTTGTGTCACAGTACTTTGCCACTGTTTACAGGACTGTGACACAAATGTCACATCAAAACACTTATAAAATCTTGGGGAGTACAGATAGTACAGAAATGCTATGCACTAAAAAAATTTGTGGATACACAAAATGCATCCTGAATTAAATGTTTATTAAGTCTAAACAAAAACACTTTTACTAACTTCAACTAATTAAGTTGTAAATTTTGGAGAAATATATCCAACATTATTTTACTTCTATGCATAATCCACAAAATGACAAGCTATTCTCACTTGGAAGACATTTTTTCTTGAAGACTTGTCCGGGCACCATTCAACCAAAGTACCCTTTAGGTCCACACACATTTCTGGCTTTGTATCCATCACAGTCTACAGGAAAAGTACGTTAAATTTTACATAATAATTTATATAGCTATTATAAATAGAAGCACTTTTATTTCAAATACATTAACAGATATCTTAAAATAATACTAGTGTATCACTAGTTCCAATTTCTATGTAAAAATTCCAAAAACGAAGTGAAAAGTGTTTTAGTTAATATCAATATGTGTAATGTATAAATCTGTTAAACCAAGGAACAGCTCAGCTGATCCCTGCACTGGAGTTATTGAATAATCTCACTGATTCAAAACCTTGTAAAAGGCTGCAGCTTGTATAAGAATTTAAGAATTCTGGAGTTTTTTGGGTTAAGTGGCATGTAACATTACAACACCTTTGACTGACTTCATGATGACTACAGCACCTGAGATGTAAAAATAGCTTAACAATTATGAAAGGTTGCTATGGGTGAGTACAAAATTAGAACTTGAAATGTAAACACACAAATTTTAATTTGAATCGTTTTTCATTAATATCTTGTTCAAGTGGGGAGAACAGGCTTATTAAAAGTAATAGATTACATGTGCAAAGGACCAATGCTGTTCCTCAGCCAATTTACTTACCATGTTAGTTGGTCGGATATCTTTGTATATCAGCAAAAACAAGTCAGTCAGAATGACACAGCATGAAGACCAGTTCTTTTTCTGGCGACGTGAGCCTTCTATTAGTTTGGTTCGGTTAAGAGTTCCCTGTTTTATTACAGACTGAAAAAAATATGTACTCTTATTTTTTTTCATATCTGAATTACTTTACAAAACAAACATGCTACATTATGAAATATAAATATGTTCAATCAACACTGTTCATTTAACTGTAAAAACAATTGATGATAAATACTACTGCACTTATTTTCAGGGATTACATGCATTATGTAACATTAAAAGTATTTTATTTTTATAATTGTTTGTTTGTTTGGAATTAAGTACAAATCTACACAATGGGCTATCTGTGCTCTGCCCACCATGGGTATCAAAACCCAGTTTCTAGCGTTGTAAGTCTGCAGACATACCGCTGTGCCACTGGAGGGCTTTATTTTTATAAACTACCTCAGAAAATGCAATAATTGGCATTACATGTGACAGTGGTAATAAAAGGCTTTTACTTTCTTGAA